CACTACCACCTCCACCTACATCGGTGGGACCTCGACCTCCTGCGTTGCGCCCCCCATGGCCGGCACCACCAGCACGGAAGGTAGCTCCGTCCTCCCTGTCATCAGTACCGGTATCGCCTCCATCGTTGGCTACTCAGCGACATCCGAGAAGGTCCCTTGAGCCCCTATGCCCACTTGTCCCGCTGAAGGCATGGGCATCACCATGGGCAGTGCCTGACCAGCAGGCGACGCGATTGCATCAGCGCCGCTCTTGCCCAAAACGGGCGTGGCGCCAACCAACGACTGCCACCCCGCTTGAAGGGCGATGCCCTTCTTTGACACCAGCGCCAAAGGATTATGCCACTTCATGATGCTACAAAGAAAGAAAAGCATAAGTCACGATGAAAACAGAAAAAACAGAGAAAAACAAAGGAGCTAGTGACTTACATTGGCGCTGTTGGGCGGTGGATATGTTTGGGGGCAAACCCCCAGGCCCTTGCTCCACCTCATTGGGGCGGGCCGTTTCGAGCCCGACCCCTGCTCCCGAGTAGAGGGGCTCGCTCCCCTTGCATCTTGGGGCGCGATAGTGGAGCCACCCGCCTCTGCCGACACCTTGGGTGCAGCGGTAGATCCGCCAGACCCTATTGGCTCTAGGGGCAGGCCAATGGTTTGGACCGCCTCCGCTGGTCCCGTGGACGCACCCTCTCCTCCATGGAATGGGAAGGGCCCCGACTCTTACAAAGACAAGCAGATACCTGTCAGCACATCCTCACTCTCTAGGTCATCCCACTCAATGTTGTCTTCTACCTCGTTGTCATCTTCCTCATCGTCGTTGTTGTCACTGTCAGTATCCTCCCCTCGCTCCTGCGCTAGTAGCTTCCGCTGCCTCTTCTTCCTCTTGTCCTCCTTCGCCTTCCTAAGCCGCTCGCCCTCGGCGTGATTTGCCACCCTCACAAATGAATCCCTCAGTAGCAAAGCTGAGTGATCCATGAGGACAAGGTCCCTCGGTTGGTCCCCCCATCTCAATATTAGTGTCAAGGGGTCAGGAGATCAATTGAAGAGGACGATGAGGAGAGGAAACTTACGAAGACAGTGTAGCCCAGTTCTAGCCGTGTCGGAGGATGTCCCGGCACTGGGTACACAAAATCAAGAGGAACGCCTGCATCATCCCGTGAAGGCTCCATCGCCTCCTTGATGCGCTGCGCGACTTCGGAGGGGGAGAGCGCTCCCTTGGCCAGCACCGTCCTGACAAATGATGCCTCGGGCGCCATTGCGTACAGCGAAAGCATGCGCCTCATCAACGGCATCACCCTCCTCGCGTGGTAGGCCCTGATGATGCTCGACCCCATCAGGCCCCTCTCCTTCAGGATGCAGATGGTGGCAAGGTGGTCCAGGATCTTCTTCTTGTCCTTCTCTGGGACACCCCACTTTCATGAATCTGGGGCCTCTTCGATTAGGCACCCGGTGAACTCCGGTAGGGGGCGGCGGCATCGTTCTTGAGATAGAACCAATGCGAATGCCACCCCTTGTTGTTGGTCGACAGCCACATCGATGGGTACTCGCTGACCCAGTTGTTCCAGAGGTGGATGTCGGCGCATCCCATTGGCGTATTCAGCTCCTACTTCTTCTCCCTCTTCTTTTGGAGGGTAACAGCGAAGAAGTGCCGCCACAGATCAAAGTGGGGACTAATCCCTAGGAATCCCTCACACAGGGCGACAAACATTGCCATGTTCTAGATTCCATTAGGATTAAGGTGCTGTAGCTCAATCATGCAATAGTGCAGCAGCCCCCGAAGAAATCCGTGAGCAGGGGTAGCGAACCCATGCTCATGGAAGTGTGCGAACGACACCACATAGCCGGTGGGCGGCAATGGCACGTCTTCCTTGCTGGGCAGCAGCCACTCGTCCATGGTCCGCGCGCAAAGAAGACCATGATGGACGAGGCCCTCCATATCGCTGGAACGTGATGTTAGAGCGGCACCACGGATCCATTGGAAGATGGGGGCGGGTGAACGTAAACTCGAATGCGGCTGGGACATGGATGCAGGAAGCCTAGGCGATTGGCAGCGGAGGTTGCAGATGCGAAGACAAGAAGGCAAGGTATGAAACCCTAGGGGCGAACCCTTTGGTTTTATAGGGGCGACAGATGCGAGGAAACCAACCGTCCGCCTAGATCTCCATGCCCACCATGATTTGCTTTAATGTCACGCCGCGGGATATGCGCACGCAATCCCTATCCTTTCCCTCGGAAGATGCGCTGGACGTTTTGCCTCCTCGGGCGGGCCACTACTCGTTACAAGTAAGAGGAATATGGATAAAAAAACACCACTACGGCCCATCTAGGCCCAGGAGTTTGATGGTTGGCCCATCAATGGGTTCGACAGCCGCTCTAGGCACCCTTAAGATGAGGGATGGAAAGGGATGGGCCTCACAAGCGGCTAGCACCTAGGCGCATGAGCGCCACGGGTGTCTCAGTGCACGATCGGGTCTCTGCCGGGCTGACCCTAGCCGGATCCCCACGAATGGGATGCTGGGACCCTAATCGAGCTATCCAGCTAGCGAACCACCAAACCTCATGGCCATACCCTCGAAGGGTCCGATCTTGGCAAAAAGGAATCACTGTCCCCAGGACATGCCATGGGCGATAAAAGAAGGCCAGGGCCCTTGGAGTCCTCCTTTTCGAAAAAACTCCAAAGAAGTATTCTAGTCCTCCGTAGGCTCGGGAGCTACACCCACCGGGTGCACTCGCGCGCACCCACTGGCAAGTCGAAAAAGCCCCTAGGTGATTATACCCGAATCGCCCGGGGGCTACTATCGAGGACCAATACTAGGGTACCCGAAGAGGAGGGGCTAATGATCATCAACGATTAATCCATCCGAGCGGCCAATAGTGTGACTACACCTCTTGCTGGGCTCCACCTTGTCTGACCACCGAGGCCATGGGCTCCGCCTTGTCCGACCCCAAGGGTTGGCTCCGCCTCGGTGGATACTAAGGCAGTGGGCTCCGCCTCGCCTGACCCCCTGAGGTCGGCTCCACCTCAACTGACTCCCAAGGACTAACTCTGTCTCGTCCAACCCTCGAAGGTTGGCTCCACCTCGCCCGATGTCTGAGGGCTAGCTCCGCCTCACCCGACATCTAAGGGCTGGCTTCGCTTTGGCTGACTCCCGAGGGTAGGCTCCACGTTGGCCGACCCCTGAGGATCGGCTCCACCTCAGCCGTCGTCTGAGGGCTGGCTCTGCCTCGCTCGATCCCTCGAACACGCCTCCTAACAGAAGCTCATGTCGCCGCCAACCACTATGGACCAGAAAGTACCACTCAAGGTCAAACTTCTGGCATCGTGCAAGGAGCGGTCACATCTCAGCACGGCCCGTCCCCATCACATGTCATCCTAGGGGACTCACATCGCCCACAGTGACGGACGTGTGGTCACTTTGCTACTAACTTCCTGGCTGACCACCATCCAACGTCAGTCAACCAGCATGAGTTGACTAGCACTGTACCACTAGCCCCCTGCATGGCTTTCTGTCAGGGGACCCTCTGACCATTCCGTTCGCTCGGATGGGACGAAAGAGAAGAATGGTGCACGACACTCGCACGTAAGCTGTAGTGGCCAATAGGACCCTCGTACGACGCCGCTGCCACCACGATCTATAGGGTCAGCAGGACCCACACAAAGAGGAGGACGGCGCACCTCTGGGAGCCTTATTTCTCTTTCCTTTTTCCTCTTCCCTTCGGTTGTAACCCCTGCTTTCCCTTACCTATAAAAGGGAAAGCGGGGCGTCCCACTAAGGGACATCGACTCATCAGTCCACCGCACCACATCAGACATCGAGCATCGAGCAACCGAACCTCAGAGACTTGGGAGCTACCTCTCTCTCTCACCAGTTTATAACCCCCTACTACAAACTCAGTGCTAGTAACACGAGCAGTTCAAAACTAGACATAGGGACATTCGGCCCGAACTAGTATAATCCTTGTGTCCTCCTAGCACACCATCCAGGTCAGACGCGCAATGTACAAATTTACTAGCCGGCGCTTACTCGAAACACCGACACATGTGCTATTTCACTAAAAGGAAAATATAGTGCTAACTGAAATACTGGATATGACACTCAATGTTTCTATTATTATTGTTCTATAATGAAATGCAAGTCAGTGTAATCAACAATAATATTTTACTGATTCCCATCTGCCTTGAATTTAAAGTTATATTAAACAAATCATATTTTATCACTCTCCTCACCAATCAATGAATATAGAGGTACAGTACAATTTCCATATACCCCTATCTTTTTTCTCTTTTCTTTTCTTTTCGTTCTCTTAGACTGATTTAAAACCTTATCTGGGAGTAGCAAGAACCATGGACATACCTTGAGAAGAGTCTTACTGGTGCCCATCACAAAACTGCATGTGTTTCGAGAAAAAACAGAATTAAATAGACTAATTTGCTTGACCGACTGTAGCCAATCATCATTATTACTAAGATCAATCACGCACTTCATTATATTTAGAAGATACAAATGTCAGGGTCAGATAGTTATACTAACCAATAGAAAAATGGCTTCTTGCTTTCGCACTCTTACGAAAGGCATTGGGTGACGATCAAATCAGGGATGTAGCTCCTCCAGTGAGGAAGAAATATTGCCGCGTAGCTTGTGCTGCCTAGCGAGTAATGAATCTGTCGTGGCGCAGCCAATTGCTTCGTGGGGGCACCGCTGTTGAAACACAAATTGATGAAAAATGTCATAAGCTAGCTACATCCAATACACAAAAGCACATGAAATTTTGATTTATGCAGGAAATACCTGAATTCATCTAAGATCATGAACTTAGAAGCTGCCACTACTGAACAAAATGTGATTGAAGGTGTTGGGTGTCAAACTATCTATACTCAGGATGTGTGGTATTTTTTGGTATGTACAGAGTTAACAGATGTTCAATTGACTGCTAGGGTTATCAGCAGGAGGGGGATTTGGATGCGACCGCCGCAGCCTCGCTCGGAGTGCACTATTGAGGCTGGGCTACGGCCTCCCATAGGTGCAATAGCAGCGACTGGAGAGAGGGGCGGCAGGGAGAAGATTTGGGTCCGACTCACCTGGATCACATGTGTGACGGGCGAGGGCGACCATGGCATGCGACGGGAGGGCGACGCTGATGGAGATGGCGTGGGTGCGACAACAAACGATGCCGACATCCTCCTCTTCCTCCTTCTTGGCCTCCTCCTTGGCCTCGGTAGCGGCAGCGGTAGGAGTGGGGACCATGGCAGCAGTGGCTCCAGAGCACGCATAGGTGAGCTGCTCCTTGCTCGCGGTGATGAGCCTGGTGATGTCCTTGCCCTCCATGAGAGCAAAGAGTAGGTCAAGGCGGTCCTCCACCATGGCACCGATGGAGCCCAGGATGTAGCACACGTCATCCTCGGTCGGGAGTGCCCCGTCGTGGCCTTGCGTCACCCGAGGGCACCCCATCCGCCGTGGCCTCCCGATGCCTAGAGGCGGCGAGCCTACAGCAGCCTCGCGTCAACCAGCGGCGGCTAGGGTTACACAAAGGCCGAGGAGTCACGTGGGGTCATAGGTGGGCGAGGGTAGGAGAGGCATTGGGTGGGCTCATTTTGTTTCGGGGAAAAAACATGCTGGAGGATTAGTCATGGACGTGGGTGGGTGGGGGGCGACGGGGCAGAGGGATCACGTGAGGCAGAGCGATGAGGCGATAAGCGATTGTCGCACTGTGTTCACTCTTGAGTCTTTTTAGACGTGGGAGATAGTCACCTAAATGCCTTGTTGCAAGGGCGGCTGTCCATCGTCTGAGAGTCCTCAACCAAAATCGTTGATTGTGGGTGGAGACCTTGGCTATACCAGCTGGTCAAAGTGGTCAAGAAAGAGAGAAGCTTCCAAGCAGGCATAGGCAAGTACTGAAGTACCCACTGCTACCTGTACTACTGTACTGTCCATGGCCCGACCACCGCAAATTTTTTTTATTTTTAACACTTTTTTGAAACTATTTTCAAATATGACACTATTTTTTTCAAAATTAACACTTTTGGCCGCACCTATTCACATGGCGTGGCGAAATCACGTTGCCGCGCCATGCATGGGGGCGCGGTAGGAGCGGTGACATGGCACTGACATGGCCAGGGCTGCCGCACCGTGAATCTGGGAGCGGCACTAACACGCCATGGCGCATGGCGCGACAAGGCCCATGGCAAGGCCTCTCTTCTTCCCTTTCTCTCTATTCCTTTCTCTGTCTCGTCCGCTGTCGTCTGACACCGCTACCACCCGCCCGACCGTGCCGCTACGTTCCCGTCACGCCCGCCCATGGCCTTAGGCCCTCCACCGTGCCTCCATCCCTCCCTCTCTCTCCCAATTCCCCTGCTCAGGCGAGGCCATGCCCCCTTGGCCGCCCGCGCCCCTCCCTGTTTACCCGTCCCTGCCGCCATCGCCTGTGCCCGCCGTCGCGCGCCACCATCGCCCCCTCCCTTGGCTCGTCCACCGCTGGTCGCGCCTCCCTACCTACGCCCGTGACACCTCCCTTGGTGATAGGCAGGGGGTCAGCCCCTTGGCCGCCCATGCCACCTCCCCTAGTGATAGGCTAGGGGTCAGCCCCTTGACCGTCCTCGCCAATGGCCCTATCCGTCATCGGGGCTAACCCCCAGGAGCTCTCCCCATTGTTGCTAAGGTATTCTGATGTAGACTAGGCCCAATCTTCTGAAAGGTATCATAACATCGATTGGTGGAGACTCGATGTTCACAATCTAGGCTTCGAACCAAGATTGATTCGGACCCCCGCAACCGTTACACCACTGCTCCGTTGGTTATCAACCACGCGAACGCGATTGACCTCGCCGAGAAGGCTTTCCTAGAAGCGAATCGAGAACACAAGCAAGAATGGGATGAACGCAATCTGAAATTGCAAATAAATATGAGGCTTATGATAACGAGAAGGAGTTCAAGTCTTTATTCGAAAGGACTAATCGCCATAGGTGAACAAGATCAAGAACTGGGGCCCTGGTTCACAGCAAGCGGCCTTGGCGGCGACAGTTGCAGCAAAACGATGTCTGTTTCACTAGGAAATCAAGAACTAAACAAAACCCAAACCCTAAGGAGAGCGATGGCTGATAAATATAGAGTCTTGGGCGTCACTCCCCCTAGACGCGCCCCCTAATGGGCCCAAACACGATACACGGTCCAACGGACCAAATTACGGTGTCGCAGCATCCTGGCAGATTCTGGGCGCTGACTTGTGACCACGATTCCTGTTGATTCCCAATAGCTTTTGATGTGAGACCACTTGGATTGTCTTCCTTATCAAATTAAATTTCCATCCATATGTGGATCATCGAAAACGGAGTCCGGATGCATCTTGGGTGACCAATTTAAGGCAGACTGGTCCTAGAGGCCGAGATGGACTCGAACTTGATTTGGGCCTCCACCTTGGTGACTCGAACTAGATGAGCTTCGGGCCTCCTTCTCGCTTAGGACACCCTCGCTGATCTCCTTGGTCTCCATATGGTTCTTCAAGCATGGTCATATGTATGGTGGTCATGCCCTCATCATATTCCCCCTCCAAGACCCTCATTTTGGTGATTAAATTTTGAATGAATTGATTATTGTTAGTGATTTGGTATAGTTAAGTAGTTAGGATTTAGGGTATGGTTAGGTAGTTAGCCTTTAGGTTTTTGTTAGTTAGGATATTGGGTTTAGGGTTTGGTTAGTAATTTAGGGTTTAGGTTTTTGTTAGTTAGGATTAGGGGTTTAGGGTTTAGGCTATTGTTAGTTAGGACATTAGGTTTAGGGATTGGTTAGGTAGTTATGGTTTAGTTAGTTTGTAGTAGTAATGGTAGTTAGTATAGATACTAGTTTTCATGTGTTGGTACTTTGTAGTGCGTGATACGATGATTTCGATAACCTGATGAAGTTTCTCAAATGCTTTTATAGATGGATTGTTGTGTTAGAGTTTCTACGGAGGAAGTGTTAAGAGAGAAGATGGTATGTTTGAGGATATGGAAGAAGAATTGGAATGGTATGATGAACCTCCTAGCTTTAGCGATCTTTGTGGCCGTTTGAATGGAAAGTTTGGCGGTGATTATACACTGAAGGGGAGGTTTGAAAGTGGAAAGACTAGGGTACACTACGTGCTGATGCCCTTGTGGGACCATGCTCACTAGTCCTGCTACAATAGGGTAATCCAAGGTTCCAATGTGGCCATGGCTGAGGTGGTTGTGGAGAATGGGTATAGGATGCATGATCTCCAGGAGGGGCCGTTCTTCGATGATGATACTCAACAAGAATGTGGGGTTCATGTGGAACCAACTATGGGTACTATGGATTTGGAAGGTCAGTTGATGCAGGAGCAGTTTTATTCAAGTAAAGTAGGCTGTATAAGTAATGACTTCGATGTGAACAAGTTCGAACGGGAAGAGGAGTAGGAGGAGGAGGACAGGATTGGTGATGTAGTTAGCAGTGATTTAGATGATGACCAGGGAGGTAGACATGCTATTGCCACAATGGTTGATGTCATGCTAGTACTTGTTCATGGTATACCATTACTAGTACCAACTGAGGTTTTGCATGCTATGCTGGCTTAGGGTAGACTAGTCATAGATTTGCTAGCAGATAATACCCCCTATGATTCATGGGGTAGAATTAGCGAAGCATAGCAGTATGTTCCACCACCACCTTACACAGCGATAGAGCTTGAGCAACTAAGGTCGATGAACATATCTTTCAAGGGTGTTCCGAACTATAGGGATGTTAGCATGACAGATATGGCAGTTTGTGACACCGGTCTCTAGATGTGTAGGAAATCATTGTATGACCATGAGAAAGATATCCTTAGTAAGGGGATAATATTCAATACAATGTCAGAGATGAAGTTCTTCCTTCAGGACTATGTTGTGTATCACCATAGGACGTACATCGTCACTCATTCGGACCAGGAGTTGAGGTACCACGTGATATACAAAAGCGGTTGTATGTGAAGGTTAAATGCATGAAAGAGACAGAGTGCTGGCAAGTGGAGGATAAGTAAAGTGGTCGAACACCACACTTGCCTATCAAATAGGGGAAGGAAAATCATCAGTAGTTCACTGTATGTTACCTTGCTCATCGTATATTGGGGCTCGTTGATGACAATAACAACATTTCGGTGTCTTCATTACAACAGTCCATATCTGGATTCATTAAGTATGATGTGAAGTATGGAAAGGCTTGGTGTGCTAAGCAAATTGGCCTAGTGATTCGTTGGGGTAGTTAAGAGGAAGCATACAATAGGGTGCCCCTGCATCTTATGTGCAATGCATTACTACAACCTTGGCTTGAAATGGTTTGTGGACACCGGAGGGATATATTTTTGGGACCCATTGAGGCATGTCCAGCATCGTGTGTTCTGGTCATTCGCGCAAATAGAACATGCATTCTAGTTTTGTCAGTCAGTCGTACTTGTTGATGGCACTTTCCTGACAGGAAAGTACAGGGGCACCTTGATGATGGTTGCTGCTGTTGATCTAGAGGACCAGATAGTACCCATGGCTTTTGCTTTGGTAGAGGGAGAGAACAATGAATTGTGGTCATGATTCATGTGGCTTCTACGTGTATAAGTGCTTGGCCCATCTCGCACTATATGTTTGATCTCAGACCATCACCCTAGGCTTCTTAATGCTACAGCTTAGCATATAGATGGGTTCCCACCTCTAGTGCATAGATGGTGCATGAGACACTTTGCCGCTAATTTCTGGCGGCGTCAGAGGAAGGAGGTATGTGACAAGGTAAAGGCTCTATGTTGTGTACGTACAGAGCACCAATTCAAGGAGATAAAGAGAAAACTAGACAAGATGCTAAATGAAGCGAGCAAGGCCTGGTTAGAGGCGCAGATGGAACAGAAGGCTAAGTGGGTGTTAGCATTTGACAAGGGGGGGTTCTGGTATGGCATCATGACCACTAATTCCTTGGAGTCTTTCACCTATGTATTCACCGGAGTTTGATTGTTGCCTGTGTCTGGAATTATTGAGTTCTCCTTTCATAAGTGCAACGAATATTTTGTCAAACGGTGAGAACTTGCGCAGAGGAATATAGCTGAGCAGGGGCGATTTGGAAAGGCTAGAGCAGAACATTTGAAGGAGGTTGAGGAATTGGCCAAGCAGCACACCGCCAAGCCGTATGGACCCCGCTGCCATATTTTTAGTGTACGGGGTAGGGGTGGCACAAGCTTGGGCGGAGAACATTATGGTGGATGAAACTACCGAGTTGATCTTGACAAAGTAGAGTGCAGTTGCAACATCCCTCAGGTCATGCATGCCCCTTGCTCTCATATGATGACGGCCTGCAGGGTTCGTGGGTATAACTTTGAGGATCTACCATATATGTCGAACTTATGTATTGATGAACTTGTGTCGTAGTTATGATTTGCTGAACTTATGTCGAACAGAGGTATTGTCGAACTTGCGATGAACTTGGGACATGTACAAGTTAGT